TATTCTTCCAGGACAGTCACGTCAGCAAGTAGAGAAAGTGAGGGTGGGCAGACACATCGAACTTTCCCACGATATCAGAGAAATTCAGGAATGAAAATGACGTTACATACGAGGTTGATGCATTTGTGCATGTCGTACTAAGCAAGGTATAAAAACAGTTGCTCTATGAGGAATTAGTTCGTACCATTGAATATTTGACGCAATAGACAAGGTGTCGCAGAAACCGATGTTGCTAAAACCAAGTTTTACTGTAGTTGCGTTCTGTTATATCTAGTTTTGTTATTGCTGTTTCTGCTTCTAGAGCTAGTGTTTCAATCCATTTTTTGTTTTTATAGTGTAGATTGTATTTTAACCCTTAGCTTAAGAGCTAAATTTCGTCGTGTGTGAAATGAGTGTTCGTACAATTTTTTACGCGTGTATAATTTGTGTTGTTATGCTTGTTTGTTGTTATTTGGGTTTCTTCCATGCTTTTCAGTTTTTGTTGTTGCTTTAAATATATAGTTTTCATTTCGTGTTGTAGTTTTTGGTTTATTTCTTCTTCTAGAATATACCACATTTTTTGCCATGTATTTGCGTTGTGTATGTGTTTGTAGTAAATTTGCTTGTTTAATTGTTCCTTCTTTTTGTATAAATTATTCGCCAGTAAGAAATAATAACAAAAAAACTCCGTGGCCTGTAGTCCGCAAGCGAACAATACCGACCGAGCTACCGCCGCTTGTCGGCGAAGTTAGTGTCAACTTTTGCGGATAGAGTGTGTGTCGTTGTCAGTGCAATGAATACCCACCGCCGTTAATCTCGGTTTTCTAGACCGGAGCCGCTATTTCTGCTCCTCAGTTATCCTCACGAGGCTGAGTGGAACCCGTTCTAGACCCACTACTTTTCAGAAAATCTGTTAGCGCTGGGAATCGATCCCGGGACCTCTGGATCTGTAACCCGGAACTCTGACCACTAGACCACAGAGGCGGTCAATAAGAAATAATAAGAAGATATGAATATAATTAACGATACTGATTTATTTGTACCGGTTGGAGATAAGGAGAACTCTAATTTAATAATTATACCCATTATTTACCTTTCCTGTGCCAAAATTCTACTATTAGAGATTTGAGGTGTGTTCAGTTTGATAGATATGGTAACCTGAAATTTCCGCACAGTTGCCATGCCCGAATTTGCTGAAATCATAGATATGCCGGGTCTCTGATCAGCAAGAAATTCCACATTTCCCTCCATGCTGAGTTTTCAGTTATTACGGAAATGTGAACACTCAGCTATATGTCCTTCGGCATTTTTGTTGTTCCACATTCTTAAAAAAATATGTTGCTACAAAAAATACAGGAATCCTACGTTAATTTGCACTACAGTCGCTTTCGGCCTGTGACGTCACACAACCGTTATATTGATAGTAGTGATGGTAGGAAATAAAGAATGAAAATCTGGGGTAGTTCGGAAATCCTTTAATTGATTCGAAAGTTATTAGGTGGGGCAGCGGGCTATAAAACAGTCCGGTCTAATTGTTGTTTAAAAGTACTTGTTGTCTACGTGTAAGGTGTGTCAGCATATGCGACAAGCTGCAGAATCCATCTTATAGTCGTACGATGCAATTACGCTTGTCACATGGCTGTTATTTTAATCGTTTATTAATTTAACCATTTATAATTAATCAAACAATAAAAGTTCATAGGTTTATAAAACATATTGTCACGTATTTATAGGCGACTATAGACGGAGCATGGATTAGTAAATGGGTTTATTGACCACTGAACATACAAGTCGTAACTACAATTAATTATAGCAATATCGCTAATCTCTACATTTTACAGATCACCAAGACATGCTAAATCTTCTGTCTTCACAGGTCGTATCCTGGCAACGGATTTATAACAGTCTCACTGTAACTACACCACATATAAAATCTCCTTTTCACACAGGAATTTACAAATCACACGTTAAGTCTTCTACTCA